TTGCAAATACCTTTTTTTCTATGTTAATTTGAAAATGGTTTTAATCTTTTTTTAGAAAGATTTTTATGCTTGGAATTTTTACCTGATTATTATTTTAACATCTTAAAAGAATTTAAAGTACTAGTAAGTTTATAGTTTTGGTTTTAGTCATTAGATCTTATATAAAATTTGTCCTATGAATTCATCAAAAGAAAAGAAAGAATTTATGTCCAGATGGGCAAAAACCCCCCTTATGAAATCTGACAAAATTTTACATCACAATAGAAAAAGCGACGTCATTATTTTGCAACAAAAACTGCGATCAAAATATATCGCGCACTGACTGCGTTCCAACTATATGCTTTGTTTTACGTCACAGAATTTTCTCCGTTGTGCTTTCTGCATAATTTCTTTCATGACTATTGTCTATTTCATAACATATCTTACTCTGATTGTTGTCACACTACATGTGCATTAAACATTAAAATGACCTAAGAGTGTTCTGATTAAATACATAACACTTGTCAACACTTCGACAATTATTCTGTTCCATGTACAATATAAGTTTTCAGTTAAACTAAATAAAACATGGAACTGTTGTTTAAAATTCAGATTTACGACTCTTTCTTATTCAACAACGACAAAAAATAATTACATGCAATGATGATATTGAGTGTAAAAATATTTTTAAAACGGAAGGAAGAGTAGTTTGAAATATGTTTTTTTTTTAATCCGAAGTCTTGGCGAAAATTGTTTGGACTTAATCACATGTCAAGAAAACTGCACGGGAATTAACACCAATCAAAACTGAATGACAGAATTGTTAAACCACACCAATGCCAGATCTAAATTCGGGGTGACAATTAGTTTTGCTAACAAAGCTACATTAATTGAAAAGACGTATATCCGACATTCTCCTTTTTAGCTCACCTCAACGAAGTTGGGGGAGCATTTTAAATTGTCCTATATTGAATAGACATGCATGGAAGATCCTTCTAGTGTGTTTCATTGTACCAGAGTTTCAGACAAACATCACATGTAATAATGAAATAAACATACATATTAACACGAGAATAAACATACACACATGTGCAAAGCAAAAATAAATTTCCAAGTATGAATGACAATGAATTGTTAAACATAATTCACACCAATGCCAATCTAAATTCGGGGTGTACAATTTTTTGACCTACGTTTTCAGGTTAGTTGTTTGTAATGAGCCCTACATTAATTGAAAAGGATGTATATCAAAATGCTGAATCTTTTATTTTCTTTTTAAAGTTTTTGGGCATGATTCATTTCCAACTTTAATGACCAGTTGCATTTCTACATTTACTTGCTATCTTTGAAAACACATTTTTCAGATAATGGACCAGGTAAAAGTTATGGGTGCAGGTCAATTACCAAAATGCTATATCCGACATTCTCCTTTTTTGTTTTGTGTTGAAAAGACTGATAACTTGTTAATACCGTTGTAACACCCCCCCCCTTCCCAACACCACCACCAAAAAATTATAAGAATATAATGTAATAAAGCATATATAGAAATAAATACATGTACATACATGTATCTTTTTACAAATTTGTGGAAGTTCTGAAAAATACCGTATTTGACCTACATTATTCATCTAATTGCTAGTCAAGTTATTCTAACCCCCCCCCCCCCTCTCCGGCATCACTGGATGCTGATGTTAACAGTGAAAATTTACATTCAGAAAAAATGCGGAGAGGGGCCCCCATGCAACCCCCCGGATTTGTTTTTTATGTGCATGATTGTAAGCACATTATTTGTTCGCCTGATTGTAAATAGAGTGAAAAAAAAATACATTTCCAAAATATTTTAATCAGTTTGGATTTTCCCGATCTACGTTTCGTCTAACGTAGCAAGAAGTAAATGTTCGTAATTTCACCAGGTAGATCACATGCAGGTGAACATAACCTGATTATTTTTCCACATTGCTAGATCTTGGAAAATCAGAAAACTAAGAGTATTTATCATTTTTAACACTTTTGTCGAATAGTTTGAAAAACGATCTGGCATGTTTTTTAAACGCATGCTCATGGGAAAATATTTAAACGTTATCATTTTAGTGCAACTCTTTCACATTGTAGATGCAAATGTGGAAAAAATAAAATGAGAATTAATAGTGAAGTTTATTTTATCAATATATTGAAATCCTATCAGGAGACAATAGAATGATGGAAATGGTTGTATAAAGATGCAATTTTAATTTGCTGTTCAAATTACGTTAAAATGATACATGTAGAATTTCAGTTTAAAGTGCTAAATGAAAGATACAAACAAATCATTAATTGAATGATGTTGACAACACAAAATGTACATAATAATTATGTTTGTCTGAAAAGCTCCTAAATTTTTGCACGTCATTTAGATAGGCCTATGACTCATTCATTTCCATGGCTTTCCATGTTTTTGAGCGGTCACCCATCCAATGGTTAAACAGGCTCGCCTTTGCTTAACTTGACTCTACCGCATCACTAGAAAAACTAGCTCAGTAGTGTGGCAGTGTAAGTTCCCTATATACTGTCCGCTACAGATGTCAAACACAAAAGTCAGATATATCTTGTATAAAAAAAAGGTTTCTAGATAACTTCGGAAATATCTTATATAAACAAAGGTTCTAGGTAACTTGTGAAACTTCAATGTTTAAATTTAAATATATTGATTGTTTGTATGTTGTTAAACGTCCATCTCGAGAATTTTAAACTCATAAATATGGAGACGTCACCACTTGCCGATGGAGACCTGCAAATATTGTCTTATAACCGGCACTCAGGTCCTTTGAGCAGTGAGGGATCTTTTTCGTGCCAGCACTAACTGCGACACGGGACCGAGGTTTATACAGACTCATCCGAAGGACCGGTCTCCATGTAAATTTAACTAGAAGACTAACACAAAAGTAATCTACAACTCCTCCCCCCGCTTTCAGAACACGTGGACTCTTTGTAAGTTGGTACGGATGGTCAGATGTTCGAATATTTGATGTTAGTGAAGTGACAGAGAATGGCCAGCATTCCTCCCCCTTCTGCACACAATGGAACTTCTTTGTACATGTATGTGTGTAAAATGTTGGGTAGACTGGGATAGAAGATATTTTACTAAATTAATATATGAGAAGCATTTTATTCGAAAGACAGTCCAATGTGCAGATTTCGCACGTAAAACATGTTCTCTTTTCTATACAATTTCTTTATGTGTTTTTTTTTCTATGAAGACGGTAATCAAATATTGTACATTTGTGTCGAGGACTTAAAAAGCTGCTCTGAATAGGCCCCTGACTTACACATTTTTCTTAGTCTCTAAAATATTTCTTTTAGCTTTTGACTAACTGGTACATTTTCAGATGACCTTCATGATATGTTATAAGTGTTGACCTGTGAAACTTGCCTCATAACAACCTGTTGTTTTTAAAAAAAAAAAAAAAAACTGTGACATGTATATTTTTAAAATCTCATACGGATCGTATAACTGACGTAAATATTGAGAAAGTATGTCTAACTTTCACTTTCATAGATCTATGCGTATAGCACAAGAGGATCGACTCTCATAATTTTGTTGTTAGATATAGATGGGGCTGTATGTTTGGCAATCTTCTATATATTAATTACATGTACGTGATTGTACTGTAGAAAATATACAATTTCTTTTTAAAAGCTGAATCAAAAGCTTTGCTCATTTTCTCAGTTTTTTGAGCCATGTTTTTATTAGTTATTTCATAATCTGAAAAGTACACTTTAACTATTCATAAATTACAGATTTAACATGTATATATCTATAGTCTAAATTGCCGTCATACTAGTGCTTATATATTTATTCTTTCATTGCAGCCCCCCCCCCCCTTTCCTTCTGATATTTTTTAACAAATGAGGACATAATTAAGCAAAGAAAATGCATATGTAATTGAGCATTTAGAAAAAAAGGATAAATGGTAATCATCATTTACATTGATATACCATACATTACAAATTCCTTATGTCGTGTTCATTAACAAAAGAGCAAGCCCCTGTCCCTTAATGCTGTCTCTTGGTCATTGTTTTGAAGGCAAAGGTTGGACAAGTAAAATCAATTATCAAAAATAAATTGATGGGAACTAAAATATTTTTTGTTGTTGCTGGTTTTGAAAGATTTGGGCTGAACTTAAGCGGTAAAATTGAAAGTGAATTTTACTTAATAAAAGACCTATCAATTATTTGTGATGTTTTCTCTAAGTCAGCAGCGAATTATAGGACTATTTGAACTCCATTGGCATATTTTTAATTAATATCAGAAAAGAATGAACTGAGATTTTTCATAAAAAAGAAAAAAATGTTTACAACAAATTAAGCTTATATATATTAAGCAGAACGGCAATACAATGCCAAGTTATTGCGTATACGTAATTCATATTTTTATTACGTCGCTATAACGTCGACGTCGCTACAATAGAAAATTTATAAAATATGACGTCGGCCGTATAAATGATGCACACTTTGAATACCTGTAAATCCGTAACGGAGCGAGATACACCTGTAATATTTACAGGTTATTTTCACCTAAGGTTCTACATCATTTTTCAAGAAAAAAGTCATTTTCGAAAATTTTTGACATAAGGGGGGTTTTTGCTTGGAACGGCGAGTAATTTTATTTCGCGAGTGGTGCTTCTTGCGAAGGCGATAATTAATTCCACGCGTATATTTAGGAATTTACAGTACTTCATACAAACAAATACTCATTAGCTGTGGGTAAATCATAACAATTATTCAAGGTCAATTCACTGGGAAGTGTTTATGTTCAGTCTATAAGGTGGAAAGGGGTTACTTTGACTAGAAGTGTGTTATTTTCTTGAACCAAGGTCATTTTAGCAAAATCAAGGTCATTTTATGAAAAAAAATATACAATGGAAAACTTGGGAAAAAGTTGTAACAGATAAAAATTAAGTTCACAAATTTACTCATAATTTACATTTTAAGCTTTAAAATTTGTATGGGTTCCTGAAGTTGGAAAATTTCCTTTGTAGGACTGTGGTGTACCGTCATATGAAGGAAGGATTGGCTCCCAGGATCCCCTGGGAAAGGACACAGCCTACAGGATTGTAGTTGATCACATGCGTATGCTAACAGTGTGTCTGTCCGAAGGAATCCTGCCGGATAAAGCAGACCCTCATGGGTAAGGGGAAAATATGTCAGATAAAGCAGACCCCCATGGGTAAGGGAAATATGTCAGATAAAGCAGACCCCCATGGGTAAGGGGAAAATATGTCAGATAAAGCAGACCCCCATGGGTAAGGGGAAAATATGTCAGATAAAGCAGACCCCCATGGGTAAGGGGAAAATATGTCAGATAAAGCAGACCCCCATGGGTAAGGGGAAAATATGTCATAAAGCAGACCCCCATGGGTAAGTGGAAAATATGTCAGATAAAGCAGACCCACATGGGTAAGGGGAAATTCTGCCAGATAAAGCAAAGCCTCATGGGTAAGGGGAAAATATGTCAGATAAAGCAAATCCACATGGGTAAGGGGAACTTCTGCCAGATAAAGTAGATCCACATGGGTAAGGGGAACTTCTTTCAGATAAAACATATCCAGATGGGTAAGGGGAAATACTGTCAGATAAAGCAGAGACTCATGGGTAAGGGGAACTTCTATCAGATAAAATATATCCAGATGGGTAAGGGGAAATTCTGTCAGATAAAGCAGACCCTCATGGGTAAGGGAAACTTCTATCGGATAAAACAGACCCTCATGGGTAAGGGGAAATCCTTCACATAAAACAGACCCTCATAGGTAAGGGGAAATTCTTCACATAAAACAGACCCTCATGGTTAAGGGGAAATTCTTTCAGATAAAGCAGACCAACAAGGGTAAGGGGAAATCCTTCACATAAAACAGACCCTCATGGTTAAGGGGAAATTCTTTCAGATAAAGCAGACCAACATGGGTAAGGGAAAATCCTTCACATAAAACAGACCCTCATGGTTAAGGGGAAATTCTTTCAGATAAAGCAGACCAACAAGGGTAAGGGGAAATCCTTCACATAAAACAGACCCTCATGGATAAGGGGAACTTCTATCAGAAAAAACAGACCCTTGTGGGTAGATGGAAATTGTCTCAGCTAAAGTAGACCCTCAAGGGTAAAAGATGAATGATAATGGAATGTCCTGCCAGATAATGTAGACCAAGAAAGGTTGGGGAAATACTGCTAGATACAGCAGACCCTCACAGGCAAGGGTGAATCCTGCCACGTAAATTAGACACGCATGAGTAAGGGTGAGTCCTGCCAGATAAATTAGACACACATGAGTAAGGGTAAATCCTGCCAGATAAATCAGACACACAAGGGCAAGGATGAATCCTGCCAGATAAATTAGACACACATGGGTAATGATGAATCCTGCCAGATAAATTAGACACACAAGGGTAAGGATAAATCCTGCCAGATAAATTAGACACACATGAGTAAGGATGAATCCTGCCAGATAAATTAGATACACATGGGTAAGGATGAATCCTGCCAGATTACTGTAGACGTATTTTTTTCCACGGGGTCATAATTCCGCGGAATCTCAATTTCTATTTAATCCGCGGGTAGAAAATTACGCGGATTTCTTACACTATCACTATATGCCTTGCATTTACATTTAGTACGCTTGGACAAATTTCCGCGGAAAATTTATGACCGCGTACATAGCGTAAATTAATACCACACGGAAAAAAGTATTTCTACAGTAATTAGAACACATGAGTAGGAAAGAATCTCGCCAGATAAATTAGACACACATGAGTAAGGATTCCAGATAAATTAGACACACATGAGTAAGGATAAATCCTGCCAGTTAAATTAGACAAACATGGCTAAGGATGAATCCTGCTAGATAAATTATCAGTAGACACATATAGGTAAGGATGAATCCTGCCAGATAAATTAGATACACATGAGTAAGGATAAATCCTGCCAGATGAATTAGGCACACATGGGTAAGGATGAATCCTGCTGGATTAAGTGAGATCAACATTGTGTGATTTGTTTTTTGGTAGAGACTACCATGTAGAGGTCTGTATTACATGATTTTTTCCCTGGTAGAAAAAAGCTGAGGACTGTACTGTATAGGCCTATTTTGTTTTCTTCTGGCAGACACAAACTAAGGTCTGTTCTGTATATTTTGTTTTCTGGTATAGATAATGGGTAAGGGGAAATTCTATCAGATAAAACAGACCCTCATGGGTAAGGGGAAATTCTAACAGATAAAATATATCCAGATGGGTAAGGGAAATGTCAGATAAAGCAGACCCTCATGGGTAAGGGGAACTTCTATCAGATAAAGCAGACCCTCATGGGTAAGGGGAACTTCTATCAGATAAAGCAGACCCTCATGGGTAAGGGGAAATCCTTCACATAAAACAGATCCTCATAGGTAAGGGGAAATTCTTCACATAAAACAGATCCTCATGAGTAAGGGGAAATCCTTCACATAAAACAGACCCTCATAGGTAAGGGGAAATCCTTCACATAAAACAGACCCTCATGGATAAAGGGAAATTCTTTCAGATAAAGCAGACCAACATGGGTAAGGGGAAATCCTTCACATAAAACAGACCCTCATGGGTAAAGGGAAATTCTTTCAGATAAAGCAGACCAACATGGGTAAGGGGAACTTCTATCAGAAAAAACAGACCCTTGTGGGTAGATGGAAATTCTCTCAGCTAAAGTAGACCCTCAAGGGTAAAAGATGAATGATAATGGAATGTCCTGCCAGATAATGTAGACCAAGAAAGGCTGGGGAAATACTGCTAGATACAGCAGACCCTCACAGGCAAGGGTGAATCCTGCCAGATAAATTAGACACGCATGAGTAAGGGTGAGTCCTGCCAGATAAATAAGACACACATGAGTAAGGATAAATCCTGCCAGATAAATTAGACACACAAGGGCAAGGAGCCAGATAAATTAGACACATATGGGTAATGATGAATCCTGCCAGATAAATTAGACACACATGGGTAAGGATGAATCCTGCCAAATAAATTAGACACACAAGGGTAAGGATAAATCCTGCCAGATAAATTAGACACACATGAGTAAGGGTGAATCCTGCCAGATAAATTAGACACACATGAGTAAAGATAAATCCTGCCATATATATTAGACACACAAGGGTAAGGATGAATCCTGCTAGATAAATTATCAGTAGACACATATAGGTAAGGATGAATCCTGCCAGATTAATTAGACACACATGAGTAAGAAAGAATCTCGCCAGATAAATTAGACACACATGAGTAAGGATTAATCCTGCCAGATAAATTAGACACACATGAGTAAGGATAAATCCTGCCAGATAAATTAGACAAACATGGCTAAGGATGAATCCTGCCAGATAAATTATCAGTAGACACATATAGGTAAGGATGAATCCTGCCAGATAAATTAGATACACATGAGTAAGGATAAATCCTGCCAGATGAATTAGGCACACATGGGTAAGGGTGAATCCTGCTGGATTAAGTGAGATCAACATTGTGTGATTTGTTTTTTGTTAGAGACTACCTTGTAGAGGTCTGTATTACATGATTTTTCCCCTGGTAGAAAAAAGCTGAGGACTGTACTGTATAGGCCTATTTTGTTTTCTTCTGGCAGACACAAACTAAGGTCTGTTCTGTATATTTTGTTTTCTGGCATAGATAATGTCAGGACTGTACTGTAAATTTTTTTTTTCTGTTAGACACAAAGTGAGGTCTGTTCTGTACCGATGTCTTCAGTCAGCCAAAGTTCTAGACATCAGGCCCGGCTACATCTCCAGCCTAGTGGACATCATAGTGGACAGCCTGGTCAGTATGTTATACCATTCTATCTGCTCAGTATGTACCATATAGGTACCATTCTTGTTTGACTCTAATATGTACTTTCAATTGAACACATTTAAATTTAATTCAATATTTAAATAGTGTATGTACAGTATTGCACCAACACTGTACATACACTGTGAAGTAACTGTCCTTCAGTAAACATTCATAGAATGTTATTACTCTGCCAGAATAACTCTGGTACTTTAACAATTGAACATTATTGTTACTCTAATGTTTACATTGACTCTGTAACTGTAGGGGGCTGCCCACCCAGAGCTGAATGCCAGTTGTAAAAGGGTAAATAAAATGTCTGTCAATTCTCTATAAAAACAGTTCAGTACATACAGGTAAACATATTAATATGATCTTTCTTCTGTCTGAGCAGGTAAAAGACGTGATCAATGAATCAGAGGGGCATTATTATAAAACACAGGAGCAGGGAGTCAGGGCCTTCAACAAATTCCTCAGGAAAAGGAAGACCTCCGGACATATCAATGGCAATTCAAATTGATTATTTTGTGGTTTTCATAAATATTCTGAATAATAGAGTGAAAAGCAGACCTTTTTACTCTAATAATTTCGCCGTATTTTGTACGGATTTTGAGTTTAAAATATGTCTCACGTTTTACTATCATGCAAATACGGAAATCGGAAATATGTTTGATTGGAATTTAGCAGTTAGTTTTCTTTATGATCTGTCTTTAATAGTTAAATGCTTCTTAATCACTAAACAAGAGAAAGAATTAAACACATAAATGATGTTGGGTTGCCAAAATGCTGTGGTATTATACAATGACAAAGACCATGATGTTAAACCATGTTTTTGTAATCAGAAAAGCAGTTGTTATCTTTTAATATATGTTAAATTGATGGGAAGTGAAATGTTATTGGCAAATGCAAACAATCTCACTGACAAATCTAATCAAAAATACTGAAAGACAACTATATGGGTAAACAGGTCTGGAAAAGATAATCATATTTTTTCAGGGAATCAACATGTCAATAATACATGTAGATATATAAAAAAACCTTGAAGCTCATCATTTTTTTTTAAATTTAGACTCAGAGTACCATGATTTGTTGTCTGGTCACTATGGAGCTCCCGTTCCCATGGAGATCCTGGAAGATCTGGCACAAAAACATCAGCTATCTCTACCAGTATCAAAACGAGGCTTGGAGGAACAGACAGACAAACAGGCAGTCCAGGAGGTCAGTTTACTGTAGATATTTCTGATAGGAATTTATAAGAGAATATCCTTTATAAATCTACAATATGTATACAATGCAATGCAATAATTTCTATGGCACATTATAATTATAAGACACTCTAATGTGCTTAATATTAAAATACACTTGAGCATGTATGTGTGTAAAAAATAAAGGATAACTAAAAGACCTTATACTATGAAATCACAAATTTTTGTGGGGGTTAATTTTCATTGTTTTTGAGGTATGACGAGACCCACGAATTCATGAACACCACGAAATATAAAATGGCACATGCGTAAGCACTCATTAATTCTTGATCCACGAAATCAAATCCCCATGAACCAAGATATTTTCCTGAAACCACGAAAATTTGACCCTACGAAAATATATGATTTTACAGTATACTAAAACGCCCTAAAATGTTAAAAGTGTACTGTACATTGTGGGGATCAAAGTCACTACCGGTAATATAAAACTTCAACTACTGAAATGTTTTAAAATAAAAAGAACCTGAACGTTTGAAAAAGCTTTGAAAACAAAAATTCCTAAAAGACCTTATAACCAGTTCAGTGTTTTGTACATTCTAAGTAAAGCACTAAAAATACAATATTTATATTCTGTGTATAAATTGAAAGTTATTTTTTTTTAATTTATTCTTTCCTTTTTCTCTTGTAACATCTAAACAACTTCCAAACTGTGTGATATCTAAATTTCATGTTAGCCAAGGTGAGGATTTAAAACTTTCATTTAGCTTTGAGTTATCATTCTTAATCATTTATTTTCCTAGGAGCAAATCCACATTGCTTGCAGCCTGAAAGAAAAGAATATACCAAGAACAGCTGACCATTACAAATACTTGTACAAAGGGACCCTATCATCTTATAGTAAGCCATGCTCTGTTTAATTACCGGTACTGGCACTTCTGAAACAGGAAATTTTTTTTTCCTTCAGATTTGGAATCTTCCTGCTAATAAATATCCCCTAAAATTAATCAAAACCAAAATTGCGTTGTCACTTCTGAAGTGTTGGGGTCCAGAGATGTTAGCTCCGAGAACATCCTTAATCTGAAGAAACGGTTTTTGGTTTTGTAGATTTTCCAGATTTGTCGGACACCACGGTAGTGGGGATCCTGTCAGGGCAGTCTACAGAGGTCCTGAAGTCTGGAGACAAGGGCTCGGTGATTCTGGATAAAACCTGCTTCTACGGCGAGTCTGGGGGACAGGTGGGGGATACAGGAGTCCTTAGGAATGAGGTAAAGTAGTGAAGGTCACTCTGAGAATGAGGTCAAATAGTGAATATCATGTAATAGTGAGGTGAAATAGACACTGACATTTGGAGAAAGAGGTGAAATAGTAAAATCAGTGTCATTTTAAGAATGAGGTCAAATAGTGAAGGTCACATTAAGAATAAGGTTAACATGGTGAAGAGAATTCTGAATATTTTTTATTTTTTTTTTTCTGAATTCTGAATATGAGGTCATATAGTGAAGGTCATTTTAAGAATGTCAAATAGTGAAGGTCAATTCTGGGCTTTAAAAAAACCATATATCACAATCTTTCCTCTACTTCTTGCCTTTCCATTACTTTTGTGTTAAATGTTCTTGCCTTACTCAAGTAAAAGATCATAATGTTACTTGCTGGAAAGTATGAATTCTAGCACCAAAAGAGAATTGTTAGTAAATGTACGGTGTATTTTATTGATCCCTTTAGCACATTTTTTGCTAATCTATTTGCTTTGTTACATGTTTGATCTTAATGCATGACAGGAAAAGTTTCAAATTCTACACTTTTCAGACAGGGGTGTTCATTGTAACAGATACTCAGATCCAGGGAGATTATGTACAACACAAAGGTCATGTGGAGGAAGGGGAGATAAGAGTCGGTGACAAGCTTACAGCTAGTATTAATCAGGTAATGAAGAGGAAATTCTCGCATGATTGGATACTGTTCTTTGTTCAGTTTCACATGAAAGCTCTTTGGGACAAAAAATTAACATGAATGGTTGTAATTTAAAATATAATTTTCTATTTTTGTCATGTTTCTTAAAAAAAAATTGCTTTGTGTATAAGAGGATAACAGTATAAATAGTGAAGGTTGTTATTTGTTCTAAAATCTGACTTTAAATAAAATGATTTCTGATAACATTTGTATTATTCTATATTCTGTGTAGAGGCTAAGTTGTTGTTGTGTTTGTCAGGAGAGAAGGCTGGGCAACATGAGGGCTCACACGGCCACACACCTACTGAATCGCTCGCTGCGACGTCTGGCCAGCGACGCCAGACAGAACGGATCACACCTGGAGGAGGACAGACTTTACTTTGAAGTTTTTACAGCTGTATGTATACAGAATGTCTATGGAAACAAAGCTTTTGGGAAACATTGGTATTTTTATCACATATTTTAATATTTAATTCCATTAAATATAATTTTAATAATGACTTTGAAATGCAGGAATTTAGAAAACTATACTGAACTAATTCAAGTAGGACCTAACAAATATGACTTCAAAAATATATATATGACTTTAAATGATTGAAAGGAAATGGGATCTGACCTTATTTGGAAATTCAGTAAAATACAAGGCTGCTGAAAATTATATACTGGTAATTATTATGTAACATTCTGTTTTAAAAGAAAAAACTGGACACTGTGGTAGATGTGACAGAACTCCAGAGGGAGGTTAGAGAGGTCATAGGTCAGAGGTTACCTGTCACCTGTCAGAGTCTGCCCCTGAGTCAGGCCCAGGACCTGGAGGGTGTGGTGTACATGCAGAATGAGGTAGTATTGAGGATCAGTTGTCAGATGTCTGGAGAGTTATGTTTTACACGGAGGTGATCTACATGTATGTCTTGTTATTTTCAGGTATATCCACACCTGGTGAATGTGATCTCCATAGGAACAGAGAAACCTGTGTCTGTAGAACTGTGTGGGGGGACGTAAGTACTAAGGCTTCATACACAGATCTGTTTTGTCATAAGAGTTAATAAAACTCTACAGTGAGTAAATACTAAAGCTTCATATACAGATTTGTGTCTGCATAAGAGTTAATAAAGCAAAGAATGTGTGAATGTTGTTAATGTCCATCGTTGCAAACCATGGCCAACATGTAAAATCCTCTCCATTCTGGCCATGGTTGAATGAGAAGAGAATATTTTTTAGCTCATTAAAATTTTGACCAATGCGAGTAAAGCATACCAGGTAGTCCAAAAATGAACTTTGGCCACAACCTATCAATACCCATTCGCAGTTTATGAAACTTTTTTAGTTAACTGATCATGTCAATTGTTGATTTCATTTTCAATGGAAACAAATATTTTCAATGGCTGAACATGATGTCACAGCATAGAGCTGTAAATATTCAAAATTACTATAATATATGTTATCCAGCAGCCACGGGTAGGAGAGAGCTTTATGCGGACTCTGGCTTGAGACGATGGTAAATTTCATGACTGAGATGACATACATAATAACTGTATTATTTCTTTTTAAGGCATGTTCGTAATACTGGGGATATTGGAGATTTTTGTATAGAGAAATTAAAAGGTGTAGGACAGGGTAGAAAGTCTGTTTACTGCTTCACAGGAAAACTAGCCACTGTGGTGAGTTATATGTTGTAACAGAAAAAATAGGTGCATTTTTTTGCCAGTGCATAATACAGGTAATTTGAGTACATTTACATGTACCATGTTTGATTTTATTGAAGGCTCTTGAAAATGGTGCTACATTGAGAAATATAATGGGTGAGCTGGAGAGGGCTGTGAAACAGGATCAAAGAGCAGAGGAGTGGGAGTCAAAGGTCAAGGCAATTAATAAGGTAAGGTCAGACAGGATCAGGAAACATAGTGGAGTTGAAGGTCAAAACAAAAGGTAAGGTAAAAAAGGATCAAGAAACATTGACACTGTAAATACTGTCAGTGTGTCATTTTAAAATTGTAAATTTCATTCGATTGAAAAATAGTTAACAGTCATCATGAATGGACGCTTATAATTTTACTTAACCACTGACGATTGTCTTTTATTAAACTTTTTTAAAATTAATTTTCATTTTCACTTTACTAAGTGAAAACAATTGTCCTGTGGATTGTAGATGATGTGGGGAGACCTGCTACCTAAACTAGAGAGGGAGGACGTGGAAAATAGACTGAATCAAATAGGACACGTCATCACGACTAAACTCAATCAAATCCACGAACAGAAACTCAGACAGGTAAGTAAAGGGGCAATTCATAATCAAAGTTAGAATTGTTTACAGGAGAAATAGTTCTGGACATATAGACGAATATAATGAACCGGCATGGTAGTGTAGTGGCTATAATTTCAAATCATGGAAAGGCAAATGGGGACTAAGACGGTCAAAACCCATATTTGGGGGAATATAATACGTACTTTTTTCCTAAAATAAATTTCTTTGAGAAAGGGATGCATATTTTACATCACAATGGGATTTTGATAAGTTTTTCTTTCAGGTGAAACACTGCTATCATACGTACATACCGTCAGACTGTAGTATTACCTTGAGACATATGAAATTTCTTTTGTTTATCGCCATATTTTAAACTTCGGAAAGTTATTGTTGGAAGGTATGCTTGTTAAAAATGTCCCTTTCATAATCTTTTGATACTAAAATAACATAAAAAAGCAAGTTAAAAGTAATTTGAGCTGCATGTTGATTGTCTCCGAGTAGGCCGCCATTACTGATGTTATTTTTAGACGTTCACGCATGCCTATGCCACGTGCTTCCGTAATGATAGTGAACATGCACCTTATCTGCCAGACAAAGTAATAAGTCATTTTTTAATGAAATACAATAAAATAAAAATTTATTTTAGGTTTTAAATAACTCAATGAAAATCTGCTGCAACATAAACACCCCTCCATATGTGCCAATGAAAGGAAGCCAATGTTGTGACACACGTGCGCTGGTCAAATGATAATTAACTATCAACAACCCTATGGGCAATTAATTGTCTACCGGCTCCAAAGCAATGTTTTTACAGTTAGAGCACTGATTATTTACTGTCATGTTAATTGCTTTGATTATTTTCTTTGTTAAAAATTGGGGGTCGGTTTATGACCTTGCGTATTTGTGAACATGTGTTGATTACGACACATTAAACACTTGTTAAATGTAATTTTACCTTATCTTATACTTATCGGCCTCTTGTTTAAATGATTGAGAGTTGACAAATGAAATATGAATTATGCTAAAACTTCAGTGTTATCATTTATTCGTGCTCTTTAGAAAATAAGATATCCGCGAAGATTCAGAAGAGGAAAATCGTAGTCTTCTTAATTAAATAAATACTTTGATGTTTCAATTCCGTGTCCTGTTAAAGTATTGTAACAGAATTTTCAGCATGATTACCTAGAACCAAAATTAAATATTACAACTGTTAAAACTTTCAACAATATCTCATGTTTTGTTGAAATAAAATTATTTCATCTAAGAATATGGCGACGCATAATTTCAAAATCACCGTAACTATGCTTAAAATAAAATTCTGTTAATACTTTTACGCAACATTATCTTGTGCTTTGTTGAAATAAATGAATAAATAATTTTCTCCAGATTGCCGCGATATTGAATGTCAGGATTAAAAGAAAGTTATAAAGTGTGTATTTTAAAAAAGGTGTGGTCAGTAAATTTTTGACACTTAATCCTCGCACCGATTTTCGTAACAAATTACCGCGATTTTCAAAGTTCAGAACATCGCTTGGTAAATTTTTCTGTTGCGTATAATACTTCTGAACTGCTTTTTTTTCCCCAGTTTCAGACTTAAAAAAGGGGGGTGCGTATTTTACATCAATGCATATTATACTCGGCCAAATACGGTAACAATTCATATCTGAGGCCCTGTGTAACAGTAAGCACTGATATTAAAATACATGTATAAACAAATTACACATTGTGAAGATAAATCTAATAACCATTAGTATTTACTCTTACAGGAAATCATCAATTCTCATCAGGGGTCATGTGATTGGGTGTTTCTAATTATAGACTACGGGAATCTCAATGTGGTAACTACAACTTGTGTCTCATTTATACAGTTAAATTTTGAGAATCGTCGAAATTTGAACATCTGTCGGGGACAGGCTTATTTTGTTGCCTAATTATGGCACGCCAAATCCACAAAAATGAGCAAAACACAGTTTCACAGTCGATAAACTAGATTTATCGGTTGTAAACTATAGTTTACAGACTGTAAACTATAGTTAACAACGTTAATCTATATTTTACATCAGTAAACCATAGTTAACGTTTCACAACCGTAAACTATACTTAACATCGAAAACAATCATTTGCGATTGCAAAACATAGATTATCTGATAAATACAGTTTCACGATTTGTAAACTATAGTTTACAAACCGTTAACTATAGTTAACGATCTGATAAATATAGTTTCACGATTTGTGAAACTATGATTAACAACTCTTAACTATAGTTTACGATTGTAAACTATAGTTTACAAATGTGAATCCATGTTTATCAACAAAATCTATTGTTAACGCTTTATTCAGACAGATAAACTTAGATTAGCATTCGTAAACTATAGTTAACGACCGTTAAATATAGTTTTACAGATGAAAACTATACTTAACGAATCGTTAACTATAGTTTACAGTTTGTAAACTATAGTTTACAGTCGATAAACCTAGTTTATCAATTGTGAAACTATGATTATCTCATTTTTGTGAATTTGGCATGCCATACCTAATTGTCTTAATTCGTTATGTTCTTTTGTAGATTAAAAAAGCAATGAACAAGTTAAAAGTAGACAAACCAGTTGTGATAGTGAATGCAGACAGTAAAACAACACATATTGTAATGTATTTGTCTGAGGTAATTATTCATAACATTCTAAGATACTTGTACAATAAAATACCATAATAATATAGAAATACATATGTACTAATATTTACATCTTTTTTATTGCAAATATTCATGGATTTGATATTTTAAATATTGAACTGACATTTTTTTGTATCTATATTTATAACTGAAATTTAATTAATCTGAAATTTATTCACTCTAAAGTAACTTTTAGGCATGTATTTAATACTACCCAAAATATGTATGGTAGTCATACTTCAATGACAAGTTCTGACTATAGCAATTTCTTATATATGGCTATAACAAATTTTAAAACAGATAAAGGAAGGTTTGCAGGTGTCCAGGACTTCACTCTAATCACATCTTACTGTGTTGTGTAAACTGCTTCTTTTCTCTCTAACAGAGCTGTGATCCTAGGTTAAAACAAGAACTGATGTCAGTAGTCAGTAACCAAGATATCCAGCTAAAGTCCTCCAAAACTAAAGATGGGAAACAGCTTTATATCATCTCCGTCAGAGACGCTGACAGGAGTAAAGATTTACAGCAGTCTCTGTCTGATATTTATCATAAAGAATTAACATTTGTTAATAAAGTTTAGTATGTAATTATAATGATGTCCTTTTGTTGTGAGAGGTCAGATTTCATATTTTGGGCTTGGAGTATGTAAATACTTTTTTGACAGGAGGCTCATGGACCTTATTGTAAGTCATCTGAGTGTAATGATCCACCAAGTGGCAATATATATAATACAGTACATTTAATTAAAAGAACAAACCAAAATGAACATATGTTGCCTCCCAAAACGAAACAAATTGGACCATCAGGAATCAACAGAATACTGAAAATCAAATATTTTTGTGGGGTCAAATTTTTGAGGTTTGAGGAAAAATTTGTATGTGGGGATTTGTTTTTGTGGTTCCAAAATGTTTAGTAATAATGCATATGAAATTTTACATTTTGTGGGGGTCATAATGATGTGGGATTCTCCATAACCCGAAAAAATAAGATTAGACCTTAACAAAATTGATGATTTCACAGGAGTTAGTTTGGTACTCTGCAACAGCTTATAGCAGACAAATATACTTGCCTCAGTGCAAACTACTCTCATTTGATGTTGTTAAGAAACTTCACAACACTTTGTGCTTGGGCATTAACAAGAGTCATATTGGCCACATCCCTCACCTGAGAACTCTACTTATTAACAAGAGGCCCATGGGCCACATCACTCACCTGAGAAGCTTTGATCATGCTATTCTTAACCAGATTTCCCCATTGTAATACCTTTTGTGACCCCATCTTACCCCACAGGTCAAAATTTAAACAATTTAGGATCTACACTACCCTTGGATGCTTCCACATAAGTTTCAGCTTTTCTGGCCCAGTGGTTCTTGTTTATATATATTTCGAGGTAAAACTTTGATTTCCTATTGCAGCCCCACCCAACCCCCGGGAGTCATGATTTGAACAATTTAGAATCTACACTACCCCTGGATGCTTCAACATAAGTTTCAGCTTTTCTGGCCCAGTGGTTCTTGAGAAGATTTTTTAAAGATTTTTTCCTATATATTTCTATTTAAAATTTTGATTTCCTATTGTGGCCCTGCCCAACCCCCGGGGGTCATGACTTGAACAATTTAGAATCTACACTACCCCTGGATGCTTCAACATAAGTTTCAGCTTTTCTGGCCCAGTGGTTCTTGAGAAGATTTTTTAATGACCCCACCCTATTTTTGTCTTTTCTTGATCATCTCCCCTGCTGAGAGGACCTGGCCCCTCATTCTTGCAATTTAAATTCCACTTCACCCAAGGATACTTTGTACCAAATTTGGTTGTAATTGGCCCAGTGGTTTTTGAGAAGAAGTTGAAAATGTGAAAAGTTTACAGAAGGATGGACAGACGGACAAAATGTGATCAGAAAAGCTCACTTGAGCCTTCGGCTCAGGTGAGCTAAAAAGCAGAAATCAATAATTATTAAAGTTTAAATAAAAAAGTGGTCAGGCGAAGCATGGGATCATGATTTGAATTAACTTGAATTTACACTAACACAAATTGCCTCCATAATATGAATACACTGTATAACTATGCTCTATGTACATTTTTTCCATAACATTTAACTGCAATGCAATTGTAAAACTTTGATCACTCACCTACCCCTTCGAGTCATGATTTGAACAAATTCGATTATTACCTAAGGATGCTCACATATATATATTTTTTTGCTTGTCAAGTTTTTTTTCAGATTAGGTGATTTGAAACAATTTAGGATGGATCTACACTACTTCGTGAATACTCCACATATGCTTCACCTGTTTGGGAAATATAAGCTCAGGTGAGCTAACAAGAGGCCCATGGGCCACATTGCTCACCTGAACACTGTGGCTAGGAAAAAGTAGCAATTGGTTTATTATTGAAAAGTTTAAATCCAAAAATAGTCCCATGACCAATCATGGCTTTGCTATTCTTGAGAAGATGATTTTTAAAGAATTTTCCTATATATTTATAAGGAAAACTTTGGTCGGCCATTTTGGCTCCGCCCTACCCCCGGGGGTCATGATTTGAACAAACTTGAATCTACACTAGCTGAGGATACTTCCATATAAATATGATCAATTATGGCTTTGCTATTATTGAGAAGATTTTTAAAAGAATCTTCCTATATATTTCTATGTAAAATTGTGGTCTGCCATTGTGGCCCTGCCCTACCCCCAGGGGTCATGATTTGAACAAACTTGAATGTACACTACCTGAGGATGCTTCCATATAAATATGATCAGTTATGGCTTTGCTATTCTTGAGAAGAAGATTTTTAAAGAATTTTCCTGTATATTTTTATGTAAAACTGTGGTCGGCCATTTTGGCCCTGCCCTACCCCCGGGGGTCATGATTTGAACAAACTTGAATCTTCACTACCTGAGGATGCTTCCATATAAATATGATCAATTATGGCTTTGCTATTTTTGAAAAGATTTTTAAAGAATTTTCCTATATATTTCTATGTAAAACTTTGGTCGGCCATTTTGGCCTCGCCCTACCCCCAGGAGTCATGATTTGAACAATCTTGAATCTACACTACCTGAGGATGCTTTCATATAAATATGATCAATCATGACTTTGCTATTCTTGAGAAGAAGATTTTTAAAGAATTTTCCTATATATTTCTATGTAAAACTGTGGTCGGCCATTTTGGCCCCGCCCTACCCCCAGGGGTCATGATTTGAACAAACTTGAATCTACACTACCTGAAGATACTTCCACATAAATATGATCAATTATGGCTTTGCTATTCTTGAGAAGATTTTTAAAGAATTTTCCTATAATTTTCTATGTAAAACTGTGGTCTGCCATTCTGGCCCCGCCCTACCCCCGGGGGTCATAATTTGAACAAACTTGAATCTACACTACCTGAGGATGTTTCCACATAAGTTTCATCTTTCCTGGCACAGTGGTTCTTGAGAAGAAGATTTTTAAAACATACCACCAAATTTTCATTAATTCCCAATTATCTCCCCTTGAATGAGGGCGTGGCCCTTCATTTGAACAAACTTGAATCCCCTTCACCCAAGGATGCTTTGTGGCAAGTTTGGTTGAAATTGGAACAGCGGTTCTTGAGAAGCAGTCGAAAATGTGAAAAGTTTACAGACGGGACAGACAGACGACGGACAAAATGTGATCAGAAAAACTCACTTGAGCTTTCAGCTCAGGTGAGCTAAAAAGGCTGAAAAATGCTTACTTTAAGTTTATAACTATTTGCAAGTTTTACTCCACGTTTACTACAGCTGTACTACTATCTTTTATAATTTTGTCTAGTCCAGGTGGGAATTTTCAATTCTCTGAGCTTTACATTTACACATCAACTTGTTTGTGGGTCAACTCAAGATAAATCCCATCTTGCACAACACTACAAAGTATGCACTGATTTTCTCAAATCTGAAATTATACGGCCTCCACAGGAAAGAAGATGGACATCAAATAATACTAACATCCTCTCCTTCCAATTTGTCTGTGTTGCCCATACAAGATGGGATGACTCCTCGATGAATATTTATCAATGAATTATCACATTTCTTTGCCACTTTTATTTCATATATACAATATTTTTTACATACAAAATGAATATGTACATCATATAGTAAATGAATTTGACTCATTCTCTCACAAATGAACACATAAACACAGGGTTTCACCAAACATTATCACAGACTTTCTCATCAGATAGAAACAAAGCACTTGCAGTAGGATGAGATCAGCTAAAAATAGCACATCTGCTTCCAAGTCTTTTTTTGGTACACACAATTTCCCTTTTGATAAATTAAATATGAAAAATAGCAGGTGAAATATTGAAGCTGCTTCAAGCAGAATTGTATACAAGACCCAATTTTAATGTTTTCACAACATTTTTGCAGGATAGTATTGATAACACTATTAATAATTTTCATGTAATAATTTGTAATCATTTCTCTAGACTATTCATCAACTTGCAAATTTATTTTTTTTTGGTGCATAATCTATTAAAACAATGAAAAGTTCTATATTCACTCTTGTCAAGAAAATAATATTATAAACTACATGTAAATACCTGTACAGTTTTTTGCATTTGAACTCAAACTTGACTGTAATGTGGAGCACTGCATATAAACTAAAGACTTGAGCACTGACTGTGTGACATTTGAAATGAATTCTCAAATGAAAAGTTCATCAACACTAGGAAAAATAAAACCAGGTTTTACTTTCATGCAAATGTTTTCAAACCAGCTGCACGTAGAAGTGGGAGAAAACAAAGATATACATGTACATATGAATAAAACAGCAAACTTAAAATGGTTCAGTCTGTAGAAGGATGCTTGACAAGCAAAAACAACGGACACACTTAAAATGGGCAGACTTTCTCACATTTGAAAGATAATTCACAGATGAGCGAGGCCTGCAAACTAAAATAATTTATCACATTTTCCAGAATGTGTCTTGCACAAATAAAATGCACTGATCTTGTGAGATGTGGCAGTGAGATTTAAAAAGTTAGCCCAGTCCAGATGATTCTGATAAGCTGGACCTCCAGGTGAGACGATGACTGGATTACTGAATGGAAGGCTCCCAAATCGGGAATCGACAGGTGAATGATGGCCAAACTCCACTCCAGATATGGATTTACGAGGGCTGAAGGGATCAAATCTTGGCGTCTTGACTGGAGTTGGAGTATAATGATGACCGACTAGTGTCCTCCTGAAAGCGAGGATCCTTCTGAGATCGACGGTCGGGGATTACATCACCTTTACGTTTCCTATCTGAATGTGACTGGTAACTAAAAACACAAGTAATAATATTACTTTTTAGGATATTTTAATTCATGTTTAATTATTCTTCACAAGGTCGGGATAGTTTAGCATACTTTTCAGTGATTAACACCATTTTATTGCAAATAACAATAAAGATTAACGTCCTTGTCTACTACACCTACCTACTGCTGTCAGGACGGTTGCTGCCGTAATCTCTGTGACCATACTGTCCGTAGTCAGGACGACGGTCACCCCGGTGATCTGACCGGTAGTTACTGTGATGATCATGATGAGAGTGATAATTAGATGAATGGTCGCCTCTGTCACGATGATATGCATGACTGGACGAATACTCTCG